CAAAAAATAGATCAAAGCTCGACAACATTCCGACTATGGAATGGCAATTTATTGGTTTTGCTTGCCTCAGTCACATCCTTCGCAAAATATGGAGTACGAAGCTAATATTGCAGCAAAGGTTTCTAAACTCAAAATTACGAATGCTTTTCACTTGGCCTTTTACTCAGAGAAGTCAATTCATGTCTCCCTTCTCGTTCAATACGAACAAATAGTTGAGAATGCACGCACTCTCCCTCTAAGTTACAAAATTGACACTTCATTGGTATAACATCTGCAACTTTAGTACTCCATAGAGCTCAACAGCAAATTCTTTACTGACACAACCGACCAACACTCTCCTTAAAGAACCTAGAGGACTCTTCATCCATCCCTCACAAAAAACTTTTCTTTTAAAAACTTCCTAAAAACCGGATGGCTGGAACCAGTTCAAAAAAGTACTTTTTATTTACTGTTTATCACTGTAAAACATTTATTATTATTTAATCATTATCCATTATTAAAACATATCACAATTTGTAAAGCTGAAACTATTCATAGTTTCAACCAGACAAATATAATCTAACTTAGAAATCAGTTGCCTCTTTCTCGTCTCTAACCTTGGAGGAATACCAGTATATACTAGAAGTATTGAGACTAGGAAACATAAAAGTAAGATTAGGATTGGTGTTAGACTAAGAAGTTGCACGAAGCTATCCGGCTGAAAAAAAAGATAGTGTTTTAAACAGAATGTGTAGCTTGTCCGAAATTACTCTGTGAGAGGGCCACCCTGGACCTAAACTCAACTGATACTAAATGGCAAAAAAAGTGTTACCTTGGTAATAGAGGGGTCTTTATTGAAACTGAAAGTGAATCAAATTATTCAAAAAAACTCTCAATAGTTTCTTAACTTCTGATGAAATTGAGCTACAAACAAACCTAATTGCATTTTCATACTAATTTCTGCGCTTTTATGAAGGAGTTTGGGTGTTGTTTCAAAGTACAAATAGCCCATAGCACTCTTCGCATTCATATGCACATACAATCATTAGCAGGAGTTCCGTAACAGACAAACAAACAAACACACAAACACCACACACACACATGCACACACACACACACACACACACACACACACGCATACACACACGCACATTTCTTTCTTCTATTGTAAATAAAGATAGCTCGTGCTGTTTGAGACATCCACTTGAGTCGTGATTTCACTTACAGGAAAATATTCCGAAACAATCTCAATTTCAAGAAAAACTGATCTAAGTTTTTCACTTTTGAGACCAACTTTTACAAATCCGGTGGATATATGTGAATAAAAAAACACATATATTTTTGATTTTTGTTGTAGTTTTTTAAATTAGTTGCAGCTAATCAAATGATCTAATTCTCTGGTAACAAAAAAAATCAGAAGCAGAATTTTTTGTAAGAGTTTACATGAATTTTTCATATTTTTCTACTGCTGAAACTTAGTAATTAAAAACTCTAAATTGACATTTCGGCAATTGGGTTGACATTAGACCAACTTAGATTCAAAATAGTCATTGAAAATGGCTGAAAGTTTTTAATTATTCAAACTTGAAGCCCAACTTAGAAAGATGAAATTTACATTTTAAACACGAAAGTTTTGTCATTTTTGGATGTTTCTAGTCAATCATAAATTATGCTGAAAGTAAATAACATGCCAGCGTTTTTACAAATATTTTTTAGAAGTGAGTTTTTTGTTTAGCTTGCTAATTTTTTTGACAAAACTTCAATGTTTTGTAACCGTGTAATTTTTTTCAAAACTAGCCAAAAATCAGTTTTTTTTTACAATTAGTTTTTGTTAATTCAAAAATAATTTGTTGAAACTTTGCGCTAATTTCCATCGTTGTGCTAAGAGATAGTTCGCTCAAGCATTGACCCTGCATTTTGGTGTAATTTTCCATTGAATGAAAGGAGCTAAAAATGGTTCTTTTAGCTTTCGCTTCAAGAACCTCATAATCTTTTACTCTTTTCTCCTGTTTTTGCTCTTATCAAAAATTATAAACTGTAAAAACAGAAAACTATTTTTACACACTGAAATTAGCCAAAATACCAACTAGCCTACAACTGCAACAATTTAATGGTTCAGAAAATGTATGCAACGAAAAACGTATCACACTAGGAGGAGTAAGCAAAAATAAATCCTTTTCACATTAAAAATGTATATCATGGCATATGTCACTATTTGAAAATTGCAGTAAAATTGGGCATTAAACTTTAATATAGGCAGACCTTCATAAAAAAGGCTTGAATGATTTATCAGTTATGCTTTTGTGTTTTGGCAGTGAAATTTTAAAATTTTTTTCCTGCCGCATTTTGAACTTTGTAATTGTTTATTTGCTTATGCAGCTGATTTTGCCAAGCTCTTTCGCATTTCTGGCATATAAATGAATCTATTTATGTTTCTCAAAAGCAATTACCTAAATATATAGAGAAAATATTTTAGTTTTTTAGAGTACATTTAAGATTGATGAGCCCAATAAATCAATGTTATTATTCTTTCGTTTTGAAACTAAAATTATTAAACTTAAGCAAACACGTTTTGAAACGAACTTTTTCTATTTAAAAAATTAAAAATTCCTAAATCTGAGTCTTTGTGGTAATCTTAGGCTGCTGATCTAGAGATTTTGTGGTCCCGGGATGCTTTCTTATAATTTTTTAAATTTTTTGTTCTCTCGTTTTTGTTTTTTGAGTTTTTTGTTATAAAACTTAAAATTTTTTATCCTTCTCAAAACTTCCTGAAATTGGAAAAAAAATACGTTTATAGTTAATCAGAATCATACCTCTTAAACCTTTTCAAACCACGGTCACCTACTTATTCAAACAAAATTGATAGTCCCATATTTAAGCAGGGGCGGATCTAGGATTATCTCGAGGGGGGGGGGGGGGGGGTGCAGAATTTCAAAAAAATTTCTAAAATTTTGTGGAGATTTTTTTTAGGTCGACCAAAATAATTTTTCTAGCTCTTCTCCCAAAGCACTAAAAATTCCCTGTTTTGGCCAAATTTTTTCTGCCGCAGGTTAAATTTTGATAAAACAGGCCAAAAATAGCGTTTTCAGGCACTTTTTGGAAAACTTTAAACAAAAAAATGCGTTTTTTCGGCGCGCGGTCCCCTCTAAAAGTTTGGAAGAGCTTTTATATGATATATCGATTAACCTGTTCCACTTATTTTTTGGGTACTTGATTTTCCGAAGAAAAAATTGACAAACGTAACCAACTACAAACTACTTCACCACTTTAAATTTTCGGAACAATAACAAAAGTTGTTGACCACAAAACGTGAGACGATGGGCAAAGGCACCAGCGGGATGGAATGGTTAAACAGCACCTGTTTGTGCTCTACAAACTTCATCACATGTACGACCTGACCTCACCAACTAGTACGTGTTTGAGAGGGTTGGTTTGGAAATGCTGGGAGTCCTTAGTTAAAAAATTGAGTAGGCAAAAATTAAATAGAAAATTCCATTTTAAATTATTTTAAGTGTACTAACTATTGTTTAATTTGAAACGAACAATCAATTATAAACGGTTTTCTTATTCATTTTGTTGTAAGAGGACAATATCAAAATCGATAATATTGATAATATTTTAGACCACAAAAATCCATTATAATTAATTTCTATAGGTTTTTATTCGAGGTGCGTTTTCAGGTGGTATTGAATTTAGGCAAGGTTAACAGTTAGCTTTTTCTTGACAAGAAGAAAGACACTTTTCATTTATCCACTGCTTCTCGCCAACAACTACCCGCTGCTTGCATTGAAAGAAAGGGCATCTACCCACTATCCTAGATTTTCACGAAAAAAATACCCGGAGTCAGAAAATTTCTGCAAAATAAACCCAGAAGTTTGAAGTAAAATCTCAAAACGTTAAGCTGAATTCATGATGACGTTGAATTTTTTACATTCCTTTTTTTGTTTATGATACTGTTATTGAGAGTTGTTTAACTCTGCGTTTTGTAACTGTTTTTCTTTTAAAAAGAGGGTTGCAAAAACTCCCAACAAAAACGTGTCCAGGCCAGGTGTTGTCATTTATCTTGCAGGTATGATCAGGTTCAGTTCAGGCATGATCATGTATCCTGCAGACATGAGCGATCTCAGTTCAGGTATGATCATTTATCCTGCAGGTATGAGCATGTTCATCTCACGTATGATCATGTATCCTGCAGGTATGAGCATGTTCAGTTCAGGTATGATCATGTATCCTGCAGGTACGAGCACGTTCAGTTGAGGTATGATCAGGTATCCTGCAGGTGTAAGCATGTTCAGTTTAGGCATGATCATGTATCCTGCAGGTGTGAGCATATTTTCAGTTAGCACACCTAACGCAGGTCTGATGAAGGTATGTGCAGGCAGAAAATAGACATGCTTCAGATCTGCTACAGACATGATATTTGTATGATTTTACAGTGTCCAGATATGTGTATGATAAAAAAGTTCGCAACGGGTACATAGGTTATAAAACTGCAATTATCGAGTAGTAATTATTGTTTTTTTCTTAATTTGATTTTTTTGTGTTTCCACTATTCAATAGTATGATTATTTTTTGTATTTCTTTCTCTGCTATTGGAAAAAACTATCTGCATTTTGAATGATCTCGCAGTACAATTTTGTTAATTTTGCGCTTTGATGGGTAAGTCTCTGCCTCCTAGACTTTGAAGTTTTTACCACGAATAATTGAAGTTTTTACCACGAATCACATAGCGAAACTGAAATAGAGCTGTAAAGGTAGCACAAACATCATGTTGAGCGCAAATGTTTTATCTGTATATCGAGGAAAAAGCAAAAAAAAAAAAACAAATAATTTCCTTTCTCTGAGGCATGGCATGAATACATTTTGCTTTTTCTCACTTATGACAGGTCAGAATTGTCAATAATGATGGCCAGAATAATGACAATTTGAAAATCACTCAAACGACTAATTAGTTAACTCATTAAGCATGGCGTCAGTAGAAGTTATCTGCTGTGATGATGATTGTCAGCTGGAGGCATGTTACCACCAATTTGAAAGCTGTTGGATATCGACGACGAGCGCAAATTACAATTTTTTAAACAGACCAGCTTTTGAGAAGACACCTGGCTTAAAGTTCATAAATTATTAGCAAAATGCTAATTTTTTTGTTGAAGGCACTAATTGTTAAAATAATTTGAAAGCAATTTTGCATTTGAAGCATTTATTATTTATAAAATCAACCACAGTTGGTTTAAAGGGCGACACGTTTTGGCCTATTTATATTTGGGGTTCGTTTTGAAGAAAACTCAAAAATATAGTGCTGTTCAAAATTTTACTTCCCTAGCGATTGTGTTTTTTGTTCGTCTGCCACCAGTCTAAAAACATCATAAATTATTAAGCGTTCTATATTTATTTGTTTTATTTATTTCTAATTTCTCTATTTTGCATTGGTTTGTTTTTGAGACTGCGACCAATCGTCTGTTTCAAAATATTTAGTTTTAGCATCTTCAGAGTCTGAAATCAATTTTTTACCAGAAACAGCAAGTTTTAGAGCCACTTCTACTACTTGATTCAAACAATTGTCGCAATCTTTCTGATGATTGTAGAGAATTCAAATGGAGCTAAGCAGTCTTTTCAATTTCTACATCTTAGTTCTGATAGCAGCATTTCGCAGGTAAAGTTTTTGGTGTTATCGGCTTTAACTTATTGTTCCGACTTTCGATACGAAAGTAACGGAATATTTTTCAAGTCTTGTCGTTGAATTTATCTCTACATGATTCTTAAAACACCGGTGGTCTGATTACAAAATAATAAAAAAAATGTAATAATACGAACATTTTTTGAACAAGTTTAGATTTGCTAAGTTTAGATAATTATCCTTTGAAATAACAATTAGGAGAACGCCCTTCGTCAACCTCCATTTTTTTTGGTATGAATAAATTGCCTGGAGCTGCGTGTAAAAAACTTCAATCTGATTTAGCAAGAACTCATAAAAACTAAAACTTTAAAATGGAAGAAAGTCGCGTTATCTTTATTAACTCTAATCATTTTTCATGGAAAATTTAAATTGCATCCAAAAGTGTTCTCTCTGAGGCAAACTGCACCAACCCGACTAGCAGGTTTCAGTGCAAAAACTTGTTACATAGCGTTAATGGTGATGATTTTGCTTAGACTCTAGAAAAAAGTTATGAACATTTTTTTTATAAGTTTAAGAAATTCTATAACTTTTGAAATGAAAAACTGTTTTTTATTGTTTTTTTCTTAAGTGAACGAGTTAGAACTTAAATGTCAGATTCAAATCTTGATTTATTACAAAATGAGCGGATTTTCAGTTTCCTCAATTGTATATATGCATGCATATTTGCTCCAACTGCTTCAACTTTTGAAGAAAGTGACATATTATTCAGGCTTGGGGCGAAAAATTGTTTTTTTTAGATCATTTTAGACTTTTAACTGACCATTTTTGACAAAATTTCCTAAATCATAGGAACGATATCAAAATTTTGAGCTTGAATTCAGATAATTTTTTTTTATTATTTTCTGAAATTACGGAGTTTTAGAAATCGCAAATTTGTCTAGGTTTTGATCATTGGACCCAGTTTTTCAGTTTTCCATTAGGTGCGAGAAATATTTTGGCCTAGAAATCATTCCAAACTGAATTGAAGCACTTCAATTAATTCACATAAAGTGTTAGCGCATGCAAAATTTATAACTTTAAGCTGGGTATAGGGAACAACTTAAAAGAAAGAAAAAAAGTGGAAGTTGTTTTGCATTTTAATAATGAGTTTGAACAAAAACTACAAGACACACCTGGAAGTACAGTTGGAAAGTTCTAGATTCTTTAAATAAAAGCGGTTTTGTTGAATGTGTATTCATTCAGAACGTAAAGTTACATTGTACGTTGAAAGGAAATGAAAACTTGCTTTCAATGTTTTTAATTAAACATTTTTTTCCTAATAGCATGACATCGCAATGTATCAAAGTCTAATATCGCAAAGTGGTTTTGTAAAAAAAAGGCTAGAAAAATTCGGTTTTTGCATTTTTCGTTTTTAATTTGAAAGTTTTTTTAATATCAAAAAATGTCTGTCGACTGTAGTTTTATCTGCACAAGTTTCTGCGAGTAAAATCACGTTTTAAAAATTAATTACACAAGCTCAAAAACTCAAAGTATGTGAGAAAGATTTTTTTAAATGGATTATAATCCAAAGTTTTTTATATCATTAAAAACCAATAAATTTAATTATAATCTGGTATAATCCATTAAAAATGGTTTATAATCAAAATGTTTTTTTTTGGCAAAATAATCCAATATAATAATCGTTTATAATGGATTTTTTGAGAGGTTATTGAAGAGTTTGCAAATTTTGCAAGTTATCTCATTTACTGTTTAGTGCAGTTGTACGACTTACGTTTCATAAATTAAAATTTTTTCACATGAGATTTTTTTTCAATTTATTTTTCTCAACTTTTTTTAATTAGGCAGCTTAATATTTTATTTAACTGTTGTTTTTTCCCTTTTACCATCGCCATAGTAAAAAATTGCCATTCGTCCACTACCCCCCCCCCCCCCCTCCCCCTACTACTACTCCTCGCTGCCCACTACCCCTCTTCCCTCACTTGAACAAGAGGGGTATTTAATGGTTAAAGGCGGGGGGGGGGGGGGCTGAACTACAGGTAACAGGACTGTTTATACACCCAAGTTGGGGGGGGGGGGGAGGGGTTAACAAGGAGAGGGGGTGTGGCGGGGGTGGGTTTGGGAGTTGGGAGTCATGGGCGGGGAAGGATTATAAATGAGGTAGTAGTGTTAGGGTACGTGGTGGGGGTAGGGGAGGTGGTGAGGGTAAAATGTGCAGGGATTAATTAAGAATTAGGGGTGGGCTGGTAAACTTGGAGCGGGGGAGGGGATGGTGGTAGGGACGAGGAAAACTTTTTTTGAGTTTTTTTAGGGATAAACATTTTAGTTCGGGTTCTAAATTAGCAGAACGTTGATGATTTTTTAACAATTTGGTGTCATTTTGATGTAATTTTGCAAACTTCTGATCCAATTGTTTCAAGCATTCAATTAGCTGTAAACAATTTTCTACAGAAACAAAATCGAATTTGACTGATTTTTAGGGCCTAAAAACTCGATTATGTTGTCAAAATAATCGATTACAATGGATTTTAAATATTGAAAATAACCGATTATAATCCCCTAAAAATCTATTTTCATGGTTGTATGGGTCATGAAAATCGATTATATGATAAATGTTTTGCCGATGTAATCCATTATAATCGATTATTCACCATTAAAATCCAGTGCGGGTAGGAATTACACAAAAATTAGAGCCGGTTATTGCCGGTTAACACTATCGGCGACTTTAAACCGAAGTTTTTAATTTATAATTATAATTTAATGTGTTTTTTGCGTAATTTTTTTGTAAATTGTTTTTTTTTTGATGCGAGTTGTTGCGGCACCCAGTTCATGCGCTTTTTGATTTTTTCTGGCTTTGTGCCTGTTGCTTGAGCCGCAAACCATGTAGCTCTTAAATTGAAGTAATTTTGAATGCAAATTATATCATTTAGGGATTGACCGTTTGTGTGTGGAGTTAGACAATTGCAGTAGAAATTTTTTTGAACAAGACTGCTCTTAACAGGGCGAAGCCCTGATTGTTCCGACTACCTTTTAATGTTTTATGGAGCAGTAATAATATTAAAAAATTAAAAGTAATAAAACAAAAAATGAAAAATTTTTTTATTAAGTTTGAGTATTTTTATGAAAATCATCCCCCCTACGCCATATATCGCGCGTTAATTGTCTCAAATTGGCCAAAATGGCATTCTTTAAACCCCCATAACTTTACGAAAAATGATCACAGGTGAAATATCTTTTCAAATTTGAGCTCAAGACAACATTGCCTTTTGAATGATATAAAAAAATTCCGTCAAAAATGACTAGTTAAAAAGTCGAAATTTGTCTGAAGAAAAAAAAACCCACCCCGAGCACAAATATTCCGTTACTTTCGTATCGAAAGTCAGAACAACAAGAAAGAGAGCAGTAGGATTTTCTATCCTGTCATTCTAATACGAGCAGTCTAGTTCACTTTTCATTAGCGTCTCAAACCAAAAAGGCTTCAAACAATAATCGAAACAAAACTGCTGGTATCAGAGCGAAGCCCTGACTATTCCGACTGCCTTTTAAGGTTTTATGGAGCAGTAATGATATTAAAAAATTAAAAGTAATAAAAAAAAGAAAATTTTTTTTATTAAGTTTGAATATTTTTATGAAAATCATCCCCCCATACACCATATAAAGTACAAAAAGATAGATTTAGCTCCTTGTAACAAATCAATTATGGCAAATAAGCTTCCTTCAACCAATTTGGAACGATTTTAAGACGGATTAACTCTCCGCTCAGGCGTTAATAGCGCGAAATATATCGCGCGTTAATTGTCTCAAACTAGCCCAAATGGCATTCTTTAAACCCCCATAACTTTACAAAAAAATGATCGCAGGTGAAATATCTTTTCAAATTTGAGCTCAGGACAACATTGCCTTTTGAATGATATAAAAAAATTTTGTCGAAAATGGCTAGTTAAAAAGTTGAATTTTGTCTGAAGAAAAAAAAACCCACCCCGAGCACAAATATTCCGTTACTTTCGTATCGAAAGTCGGAACAACAAGAAAGAGAGCAGTAGGATTTTCTATCCTGCCATTCTAATACGAGCAGTCTAGTTCACTTTTCATTAGCGTCTCGAACTAAAAAGGCTTCAAACACTAATCGAAACAAAACTGCTGGTATCAGGGCGAAGCCTTGACTGTTCCGACTGCCTTTTAAGGTTTATGGAGCAGTAATAACATTAAAAAAATTAAATTTAATAAAATAAAATGAAACACTTTTTTTTTCTAAAAATTGAAATTTTCTTTGAAAATCATCCCCCCACACGCCATATTAAGTACAAAAGAATATATTTCGCTCCTTGCAACAAATCAATTATGCCAAATAAGCTTCTTTCAACCAATTTGGAACGATTTCCAAGACGTATTAAATCTCCGCTTACGCGTGAATAGCGCGACATATATCGCGCGTTATTTGTAACAAATTGGCCCAAATGGTAACCTTTAAACCCCCATAAGTTTACGAAAAATGATCACAGGTGAAATATCTTTTCAAGTTTAAGCTCAGGACAACAATACCTTTCGAATGATTTGGTCAAAAATTAGCTAGTTAAAAAGTCGAAATTTTTCTGAAGAAAAAAAGCCCACCCCGAGCACAAATATTCCGTTACTTTCGTATCGAAAGTCGGAACAACAAAAAGAATATTTGTTACCAGAAAATTACGCTCAGTAGTAGGAGAACAATGAATTATAGTTGTCCTTTTTTGTCTGTGTTTCTGTTAGTTTTCAGCAAAGAGTAGAAAAAATTAATTAATTAAAGCACTTCAGTTTATGATTTTCGGCTTTGAAGTCTCAGTTCAGTCCCTTTGCTGTGGAATTTTGACGTTTTATTAATTGGAGTAGCTTGTTAATTCAAAAACACTTATGATGCTGTAATCATTAATGTTCAGTTAATTGAATAATCAGTCAAGAGATTTTTTAATCTTTGATCTGTATGCAATTCACCATTCATTTCATTTCAATTTTAACAACTGTTCTCCAAACTAATTTTCATTTTCACAGACTGCCAATCTAACTGAAGTTTTTCAAAGAGAAATTCCGTCTCGTGGTATCTATGAGGAAAACTGTTATAAGTTTTATTAGTGTCACATTGAAATAAAACTCGATGATGTGTAGACAGTACCCATTTAATTAATGATTGAAAATTATACTGTTTTGGTTTGATTACAGATTGAAAATCCGATTCCAGTTTTATATAAAATGCTGAAAACTTTTAACTTTTTAGCGTTGTGTTTTTTGTTTCTTCAAAATGGAAGGTAAATTTCAAAGCCAGATTCAATCCCGCTAGTTTAAGCCCAGACAAGGTTTTTTTATGTCAAAGATAATTGAATCATTTTTTTAAAATTTTTATTTTGGCGGTCATGCAGATTTTAAAATTGTTTATTTGTTTTACTTTCAAAAACAGATGCACCAACAAAAAGATAACGGAATCTAGTGTTTTTTCCATAATTTACCTCGATTTTAATACTTTTTTTGGTGAAATGACGACTTTCATAAATTGGATAAGAATTACATGCACTGGCAGGCAAGATGCCAAAGATAAAAACCAACAGTTCAACAGTTTCAATCATAACACTGTAACGGGCAACAAAAGACAACTCGCAAAAATTATTGACCCGAAAACTCCCAATTATTAAAACCCTTTTCAACACACTAATTATAAGAAGATTTGAATATACCGGGGATTACCAGTAGGGGCGGTCGCCGCTCTTCAGGGATTCGACCCCTGAATACCCAAAGGGTCCTCCCTTTGATAGTATTTTAAGACCTCCATTTTTGTCTGGCTGACCCTAAAATTTTTCTAAAAGTATCTTTGTCGCCAATATATACTATTTTTGAGGGGGAGCGCGCGCCAAAAAAACACAAGTTTTGGATAAAACTATTCAAAAAAATCCGTAAAAAATCTTTTTTGGCCTGTTTTTTCAAAAAGTTGCCTGCAGCGCCAAAGTTTGGCCGAAACAGGGTCTTCTTAGTGATTTGGGAGAACTCGGAAAATCAATTTGGTCGACCTATAAAAAAGGTTCACAAAGTTTTCGAATATTTTTTGAAAACCCGCTCCCCCCTCGATAAAATCCTAGATCCGCCTCCTGGGAAAAAATCTTGATAATGGCAAGTGATAATAGTGTCCGATTCAGTCCAATAGTGTAGTGACATAAAATTATGAACCAAACTGGAATTTAGATCAGTGCTCGGCGACTTCCAAACTGCTGTGATGCAAAAACATAATACGCACCGGACAAACGCTGGACTCACTCCGCTTACATGGAGCACGTCTCTAGGTAACATTCAAATATTATACAATTTACAACCATAATTAAAACTATTCATATTTTTTCTGGTTTTCCCAGAAGTTGAAAAAAAAATTCTCGCCACTTAAAAGTTCTTCTAATGAAGAAAATATTTTTGCAGTTTATAATTTTCCAGCAATTGTTTGTTTTAACAAAAGTGAGCCTTTTAGCGACAAAAGCGCAAGAACATACAGACAGCATCACCACTGATGCAACCAGCTGCAACATGCAACATTCATCTGGAGAATTCAGAAGCGATGGTCAAGGTGATCTTTTATTTTACCCACAGAATTTATACTGCAATTTGAGGTAAATCTAATAAAACTGTTCACTATTCATCTCATCGCTAGATTCAATTTGGATAAAAGAATACTACTGGGGATGTGAAGATAGAGGTTGTAAAAGATACTTCTTCCTTTTTTTTCAAATGATCAACGCTTAAGTGGCATCAGGGGCGGATTTAGGGGGAGGGGCGGGGGGTTGGACGCCCTCTTCCCTCAGGGATTCGACCCCCTGCCGACCCAAAGGGTCCCCCCTTTGATACTTTTTCAGAAATCCATTTTTGGCCGACCGACCCTAAAATTTTTCTAAAGGCGCCTTGGGCGCCAATATATACTAACTTTGAGGGGGGGGGGGGGGCGCCAAAAAAACGCTATTTTTTGTCAAAATTTTTCAAAAAGTGCCCAAAAACGGCTTTTTTGACTGTTTTTTCAAAAATTTGCCTGCGGCGCAGAAAATTTAGCCAAAATAGGGGCAAAACAGTGCTTTGGGAGAGCTCGAAAAATCAATTTGGTCGACCCAAAAAAAAAGGTCGTCAAAATTTTCGAATTTTTTTTGAAAATCCGCCCCCGCCCCTCGAGAAAATCCTAGATCCGCCCCTGAGCGGCATACTGATCAGAGCCTGATTCATTGATGCTAAGCTATGCATTAACGCTAAATCAGCGCTGAAATTCGCAGTAAGTTCAATCCGGGCTTCTGAAAACGCGTGAACAATTTTAAGAGACTAAGAGTACAAAATACAAAGCAACTCGTGCTTCAGTTGAGCTCACAATACTCGGTACATTGTTTTTTTTGAAAAAAAAAATTGTTTACAACATCCAAACAATATAATATAATAGAAGTTCAAGTTTCTGGACAGTAAATCGTTCTAATTGATTTTAAAATTATGGGAATTTCCTGGAAATTCCCAATTAGATGGGCCTATCAGTTGGTTAAAAAGTTAATATAAAAATCGAATACACGGTTTCCTCCTGAATTAAATTTTTTCCCAAGCTAAACCATGTTTTGAAACCAGCGAAAACACTTGACAAACACTTGGGCGAAATTTAAATTAATAATCTGTTGAGAATTTTTTACAGGAGAAAAGACAAAGGCGCAAAAAAAACTCGTCAAGTGAAACTGAAAATCTGCTCAAGTGTTTTTCTTGCTGAAGTAAAAAACACTTGAAACGCCAATTATTTCTATTTGAATTTCGAATCACTTCAGCAGCGGTCAAGTAAAAACACTGGAACTTTTTTCAACAGTGAGACCTATTTTATTATTCACCTCATCGCAATGCAGATATTTATCAGTTTGAAATTGAGCCTGGAGTTTTTTAAACCATCATTTAAACCATCCAGTGGTGATGCATTTTAATTACGCCTTCGCTTTTCACACGAAAAAACGGATGTTCAAGACCCGTTCGTTGCTTGAGGGTGAGGCAACAATATCCAACCAGGAAAAATGGTAAACAAAGATCGACTGTTAAACCCATGCTTGAGAATTGCGAGAAATGGTAGCAACTTTGTTTACCAATTTGCGTGAATAGCTGAACAACTCGTACAATGGTAATTTCCTTTGTGGATAAATCGTACTACATCAAACAAATTTTCACAGCTGTGTGATTTGAAAGGTGAGAACATCTACATGGCCAGTGGTGCTAAGACAGACGAGGAGCATGGGTTGGGGGCTTCCACTGTATGGTACAGTGAGATAAGCAAATACAAATACCCCCTTCTCACTGACCCCGTCAGCAAGTGGGACTTCTGCGTCGACTGGACTAAAGTCGGACACTTCTCCCAGGTGAAAATATAATAGTTGCTTATTTTGTAAGCATACAATCCAAATTGGGAGGAACCAGTTCTCCCTTCTGGTCTCTTTTTTGTCAATGATGTAAAACCCTTTTTAGTTTGAACCGTTTCTTAGAGAAACTTCACTCTACTCATTCCAGGAACTGGAACTGGTTTGCTTGAAGCAAGTTAGGTTCAGCTCAGACGCAGCCATATCTTACATGTAACCTTAGGTTACATGAAGTCCTGTAGGAATCTTTGGCCACATTTAGTCTCGCGCTCCTGAGCTAACGTGTCCACTGCATAGACATAACGTCCCTATACAGCGCCAAAGTAGATACTTTTTTTGATGGTAAAAGGAGATCGATTCCATCGAATGCTTTTAAATCTGTGTTCGGCCTACTGACTCTAAAAACGTGTCACAGCGCGTTCGGTTCCAAACTGCGAAAATGTCATCTATCGTTTGCTAAAACTAAAAAAGTATTGGGGGGGGGGGGGGGGTGGGGTTCGATCGATTATTTGTTCCTTTAGATGATGTGGGCAGATACAACTGAGATTGGCTGTGGCGTGGGCCAGTGTGTCTTCAACGGAAACACCTTTGTCACCTGTCACTATCTCCCAGCTGGCAACATGCGAGGTTCATCCATGTTCGCAGAGGCAAACTACAACCAGCTGATTGCCAGTGGAGAAGAGTTGGCCCGGTGCAGCGCCTGCAAAAGGCAAGAAATTTCGAAATATTTACAATAGAAGTATCCGATTCGTCTACAAAACTGCAAAAACACATCGGAAAATCCGTTTTTAATGGGATATTTAACATATTAACAGTGGCGTGCGCAGAAGTTTTTTTTAGGGAGGGGGGGCGTTGTTTCAAAATTAAAAAAAGCCCCCCGGCGCGTACTCCTCCCTCAAATTAGTTATATTGGCACCAAAGGGGCCTTTAAAAAACGCTGAGATTGGTCAGTGAAAAGTGGATGTTGAAAATTTATACCAAAGAGAGGACCATTTGCAAAAATTTAGCAACCAGAATCGAGGAGAGAAGGCGGTTTATCAGCAAAATTTATAGCTCGTTTTATCATTTTTTTTTCAACATATTAACAAGACTTATCCTGAATACGAAGTATGCTGGCTAGGATACTGGTTTTTTACAATTTTAAGGTGACTACTATGCCAAGAAGGTTTTACATCATGAAATAAAAAATATGAATTATGCGTGAGAAGAAAGTAAGCAAATAACAAAAAACTACACTACTTAAATTGCAATAGTTATGCATAAAAGATAATCAAAAAGCGCGAAAATAGGTCGGGTAAAATGTTAGGTAAAATTTCCTTTAATCAAAACAGGTTACAGAGAGTTTATTGTTTGACATTGATCTCTGACATTGTTTCGGGATTCCAATTCACGGTCGAATATTCTGTAAAAAACTAGACATCACTTGGAATCCCAAATCACAAAAAAATACATGTGCTCTGTTATTTAGAGTTTTTTTGCGTAATTGCTGCAAAACTATTTTGGTCAGAATAATTTGTTTGGATAAACTTTGCTGTCCATTTCAGAAACTTGAACTGGTTCGCTGCTCTTTTTGTGGTCGCTGCATCTCTCACCAAGTTCAACATGTGGCGATAAGAGGATAAAGAAACCGCAGAGATCATTGTCACAAAAAAACAGTCAAAAAACAGTGGCAAAACGCAAAATCAAAAGATGTGAAACGAAAGAAATACTCGTAATTGAGATTGAAATGAATATTTTCAAAGATTGTATAAATAATCATTGCAAAAATTCTGAATTTAATTTTTTTTGTTTTTGCTTATTAAGAGATAAGACCAGAGGCGCATCTAGAATTTTCTCAGGGGGGGGGCGGATTTTCAAAAAAAATTTTGAAACTTTTTTGTCGACGTTTTTTTTTTAGGTCGACCAAATTTGTTTTCTGAGCTCTTCAAAGCACTACAAAGACCCTGTTTTGCCAAAATTTATTCGCCGCAAGGCGTTTTTAGGCACTTTTTGGAAAAATTTTACCAAAACATCGCGTTTTTTCGGCGCGCGCTCCCCCTCAAAAAGTGCGCCTTTAGAAAAATTTTAGGGTCCGTCACCAAAAATGGATACCTCAAAATAGTACAAAGGGGGACCCTTTAAGTCGGCAGGGGGTCGAATCCCTGAGAGAAAAACACACCAGAAACAGAGCATTCTCATGACCTCGCAACCTCGGTTAGGCTAAATTTAACTGGAGCGTTTAAACTACTTGCAAACTTTTTCATCTTTGAATTCTTGGTCAAAATATTAACCAGCTCATTTTTTCGTGTTTTTCATCTTAACGTTTGCTAAGGTTTCAATTAGATTTAAAAAAGGCACATAATAGGAAAATGAGGATCAATTTATTGCCATTTCCAAAATTGAGAAGACTGCCTTTATCAGGCCAAAGCCTTGAACAGTCCGACTGCTCGGTAACTTTTCTCGAATGATTTTTGTGAAAATTAATGATAAAAATTGAACTTCGAATTTTTGCACTTTTGATTAAAATCCCACCACCCCGCCCTAAAACATACACTTTTGAATGTTTTCTATTTTACCTTCGCATTCATTTGGTCCGAAATATTCCGATAATTTTTTCCAAAAAGCAAAACAGTACACTAAGCAAAGCTTTCTTTGCTAAAACCTTTACTAGCTTCCCTTCTTCCCTTGCTTGTATAAGGACATACGCTGTTTGATGATTCTTTTTTAAGCTGTCTCAAAATCATATTAACACCAAAAACTTGATATCAATTTTCATTAAAAAACTCACACTTTTGACGAAGTTTTTAATTGGGATTTTCATATTTCAATGATTTAATTGGCAGTTTTTCATGATTTAAATGGCACTTTTTTTTAACCAATTATTACAATTTTTGACATCACTTCTTAAGACCCTAAACTGCAAACTTTAATCAAGCAATTTTCAGTCATTTTTTTTGTTTGGATTAGGGAAACGTTCATTTTTTTCACAAAACAAAATTCATCACTTTCCGCGTAACACAGCTAAAAATGATTTCGAGGTTATTGAGGATATATTAATTGATTTTAATAAATGACTAATGATCGGAAAAATTTTACTTCTAGTTTAATTACCGTGTAAAGAGAGTTATTAAAAAACTCATATTTGCTCAAATCACATGATATCTTTTTCAAGTTAATAACTTAAGAATATAATTTTGCACCTATGTTAAGCCAAATCAGCGGTTAAATATACACAATTTTCAAAACCAAAAATTTATTTGCTGTTTTTCAGGACAGAAGCTTTGTCAGCTTCTCCAAAACCTCACAACTCTGGATTTACTAAAGTGTAGTATTGCAAAAACTACACTAACTTATGGTTTAACTTAGTTTTCTAACATTCTAAATATTCTAACACGGTTTATGTTTTTCCAGATCAATCAAAACTAATCTTTTATTATAAAAAACACCAAAACTTACCGTTTTCAATGGAAGAGTAATCACAATTGAAAACACAAGCTTTCAATACTCTCAAAATATCAATGCTTTTGTGAATCAGCATAACACAACAGATACCAATTGGAGTTTCCACTAAATCTTGTTCAAATGTGACAGTGTCTTAAGATAATTTCCTTTTTCTCCTTTTTAACTTTCAAATTGGTCAAATTTTGATTATTTATTCGTATCGACAAACTGCAGCGTAAATTTTGAAGACATGTCTAACAATGACACTACCCGAGTGCACGAAGAAACAGTTTCTGTAACTAATGCAATATTTTTTCTTGCAATAAGTTTTCACTGTGGCGGGTTTGTGCATGACACAAGAATACCCATAACAGGGAAAAGACTTAGCGAACATAACATAAGGACGAAGTCAGCACAAGAAGAAAAATTAAAAGGTTCCCTTGCATTTATGGTTGTCAGAAGTAAAACCCCAGCAAAATGGTTGCAATCAAGATTCGATGATGACGAATACCAGAAACATCAAGACAGGGAGAATAGCGATTAATAAGTTCAAATGACGTTGCAGTGGTCAAATTAAGAACAAAAAAACGATTGAAGACATCGTGATAGAAGGAATCGAAAGTGAAAGAAAGTGTATAGTTCCACAGAAAAACTCAAAGACATCATTTCAATTTTGAGTATCATTTCATCTTTAAATTTCTAACCCAATGGGAAATGATCGTTTAAATCCTTAGCTTCATATTAAAGTAAATGCGTTTATCAAACATTTATCTATCTAAAAAAGGGGTTAGTAGTAGTATTGCAAAAACTACTCTAATTTATGGTTTAACTAAGTTTTTTAACAATAACCCTCTGATATGAATAATTCTTTCACGATCGGACTCACATTTTTCTGCTGCCTTTAGTCTGGATATTAAAAACAGGAATGTCGCCAGTTTTCTGTCTTGCCTTGAAAAGCAGACAGCACGGCGACAAAGCTTCCAGTCCTTTTGCGATCCTAACAAAAGACTTTAAATTTTTAATTAAGTAAGGCAGGTGCAACACTGATAAATTGCCCTGATCTTTTAAATTATTGATTTACTATACCAATAAATCAATAAGTTGCAAATGTCAATTTCATCAAGAACATAAAGAAGAAGGGGAAAATGAAATTTGAAACCTAGACTGCAGGTGCAGATTTGTCTTAGCCAAAGAGCTGAGAAATAAATCGACCTGAATCTTCAAAATTATGATTTTCCCGACTCGCTTAATCAAGAAGAACTATTTTCCTTTTTTGATCTCTTATTTTCTTTTTGAAAATTATAACATTCCAGAACTGACAGAGGTAAGATTTTTCCTTTAACTTAAATTAATGTAACTTAACAAAAGTACCCCAAACCTATTTTGATATCTATAACAATTGTTCATCATATTATGATTCTTTTATACTTATTTAATCAACCTTTTTCGTTTATCTGTTTATATAAAAATCAGTTTATTTAGGGACCAGACCGACTATGATCTTTGATATAACTTAACCGAGACTTATAACTTTAGTTACTAATTGAAACAAAGGGATCTATCAACCGACCCCAAGTTTCTTTTAGTAAAAAAAAACTTCCTTGTTTAACAAGACTGTTGTAAGAACCTTATTTTCTAACAAAGTTAGGCTCTATGAATAATATTAAATTAATTTAAAGTTTTGCAGAACACAATACGAGAATCTCGAACTCAAACTTAGATTTTTTGTCGTGAGTTTTGTAACTACAAATTTCGCAAGTAGTTTGTAAGATCTGAAATTTTATCTAAGTAGGGAAATGACAAAGAGACGGGTCTGATCCAGTCAGTGAACTTATTAACGAGAAACAAACTAAATGATTGCACTATGATGCTAAACGAAAAACTATTTAGTGAAACTGCTTGCCCACAATTTGAACGAAATTAAAACTTACTGCTGTAACAAATTGAAATCAGTATTCAGCTGATAACTTTCATCTTTTCGCGTGCTTTACTGTCTCTCATAATTGTGTTTTAAGTTCATTGTCTGGATCAATATCCCGTCGCTTTGTCATTCACCTAACTAAATATCTGAAACCCACGTACAACAAGCCCGAGGCTATATAACATGAATAATCATGTTTTGAAATCCACAAAAAAAGTTTGAAGCGCTAACTTTGTTTTACTAAAAGATTATTTAGAAAAAATTTCAAAGTTTTAGTTTCATGTTTGTTTTTGTTCAAAATGAATATTATATGTCTAAATCTGAAAAGTTTTGCATTCTTGAGCTTTAAAAATTGTTTTTAATTTGATTGGGCTTGTGAATAATATTAGGCTCTATGAATAATATTAAATTAATTTAAAGTTTTGCAGAACACAATACGAGAATCTCGAACTCCTAAAACTTCGAAAACTATTACTGTAAGAGGATATTAAGAAGGATAATTTGAATTTGAGTCAAATATACGCTTTGAGCCAATTTCCACTTATTTTGAGGATTGCAGAGTAAAAAATGAAGAGTTGGAAAGCAGATAAACGAAGGAAAAAGGGAAAAATGTAAAAGTATCATCAGTAGGGCTTTTCATTAAAAAAAATTAGTTGCCAATTTTACGTGGGAACTGATAAGTTGTTTTTTTTCAAACATTTTTGCTGTAATATTTAACCATAATTATTTTTGGCGCGGACAGAAACTTCTGACGCACTCCACTAATTGTCATCCATAAAAAGTGATACACGGTCGCTCAAAGATTTCAAACTACATAAAAACATCTCATAACTAACAGCTGTAAGTTCAAAATAATACAGAAGAATGGGGTTAAAATGACCAAAAGGGTCAAAACAGTTGTTAATATGAGGACGCGTTTTCATCCCCAAAACACATAATGAAATTGGAATTGGTATCAATTACTTCTGAAATACGCAATAAAACATACTTGAACGAGATTTACGAAAATTTTTCGCTGCAATGAATCTTTGTGCTCTCTATGTCCTACTGTCAATCTGCATTTGTGAAAAGTTGGTATAGTTTTTTTTCCAAAACTTTTCCATTTTTTAACTAATTGGCTTGTACCCGATATCTCAAATAAAACATCTTGGATCAATAGCGGCAGAAAAGTTTGGCAGGAGTATGGGGGAAGGATTTTTGAACATTGTTCTTGACGTTTCTTTTAGGTCAGCTGTTTCGAAATTTGAGATCTGCTGAAATCTCAAAAGACCATGATATGACTAATTTTTTTTGCTCGTGAATGTTAGTGTTTGTCAATCAACACTGGAAGTCATAAAATAATTCCAAGTCGAATCCCTGAAGGAAAGCGAAAGCCCCCCCCCCCTAAATCCGTCCTGCTTTGCGGAC